GGGTTGGAACTGGATGATCTGAAGGTCCTTTCCAACCCTAACTATTCTATGATTCTATTCTATGATTCTAAGATTTGGTCCAGTGGTGGTAAGGAACATCGAAGTGGGAGGGACCTGGTTGTGTGTTGGCACTTTTCAGAAGGGGACAAAAAAAAACCCTGATTCTTACTGTGCTCTGCCAAGGTACTATATTACATTGACATTAGTGTGATTTAAATGCATGAGGAGTTTCCAGATTGTATATGACAGCATCCAACTCAAACGTGACTAGTTCAAAAACTGGTCCTGATTTAACTAATGCTAATTAAAGCCATGACGTCCTGCAGTAATGAGAATTTCTTTAGCAAACAGTTTGCAGAATCAAAGTGCAAGCTGAGGTTTTACACAAGTCAGGTTTTACAGAAGGGAGGACTCAGATGATCTCTCTTTTCCATGTCAGTGACTTCAGGGAAAGCAATTGATTGTATAGACTGGGAACTTGCAATTTTAACTGGCTTATGTAGGATTAAAGGCAATGTTTTATGTGCTTTAATCACTACACAGTGACAGTTGCTGCGACAGATAAGCTAACCTCTTTCTTTTTCTAGGTTGTGATATATGTTTCCATGCACTGTTTCCTTTTTTCTTACCTTGCCTTCTACAGAGCTCCTGTCCTGTCAGGTTCATATTTACTAGTTTTCTGCCAAATACTGTTCTCAATCAGAAGAATATCATTTCAAAGACATGAAAGTGGGTATCTGTTGGCAGTTTTCTACAGAGGTTTGAATCCATAGTCTACAGTTGTCTCTCTGAGCCAACATACGAAGTGGTGAATGGACGAAGTAAAAGTCCACATGGCAACTGGAAAACAGAGGTTTGGGTGAATATGTGGGACTGGCTCATCTGCAGAAGCATCTAAACTACTACTACTGCTACTACTATCACTGTCCTTACTGCTGCATACACTATCCCTGCTTCTGGTTCCGCTCCTGTATGTGAACTCAGTGGGTCTAACCCCCTGTTCCTGGTTGTTGTGTGATATTATTACTGCAGAAGTCATGAATTGTAAGAGTGTTTCTTCCAGGTACCTTGTGATGAGGTCTTCCACAAGTTGGTTTTCTCATACCAGTTTGCTTTTTAGGATCAACCCCATGAACAGCCTTCATTTGTTTGTCTCTTTTCACTTTCATTCCTAAGGTAAATCAGAGACCTGGCACAGGGAAAGAAGATGTGTCTTTAACAGAATTGTGTATTAAACCACTTCTTTGGCATCACTGGGTGTCTGAAAGTGTGGGGAAACTGACTGATCTATTTCAGGATGACAGTGAGGAATATGGGGAGATATCCTGATATGATTTCCTGAGTACCTGTACCATTGCCTGTCTCTTTCTAAAATCATCCTACTGGAGGCAGGAAATATCAGGTCTATTAGTGAAACGACTCTCCAGCTATTAGTTTTTAGACCTTTAAATGGTCTTATCTCAATGGATGTGTTTGCCCTGTGGCCCATCTATCACCCCTGAAATGTTTTATCTGCACCTGAAAAATCTCAATGAGAACAATAGCTTCAGATGCTTCCCATTTAAGGGGCTTTAAGCTACAGAATGTGTTTTTCTTTTTTTAGGAAAGGTCTTTTAAGATCTGATATTATTTGCTGGCTTTTCAACCCCGTTTCGTAGCTCCCACAGCACCACTTCTATAAATACTGTTCAGCAGCAAAGAAAGGAAATCACAATAGATTAAAAGGAAGCCAGGTTAATGGGCAGCAAATCAATGGCCATTCAGCCTCAGACGTTTGTGAAAATAAAGGATTATGAAGAATTATTGCCAGGTACTGGCTGTGTGAAGATCTTTTGTGGCATCTTTGTCTTCTTCAGCAGATAGTTATTAGAGGTCTAAGAAAAGCTCTTGGTGTCAGGAGCCGCTTGTATTAGAAATAAGCAGAAGTTACAGTGCTGTAAGATGTCGCATTGTAGATTTTGTACCATTTACACACTGAGATTATAAATGTCTTGTTTTTTCTTTAAAAAGAAACGCTATTTCTAGCTTGAAAATAATATGTGTCAGTGTTATCTTGAGGTCCAATGGAGAAAAGGGATGGGGCATGGTGGCTTTTTCTTTCTTTGTCTACTAATTACTGCAGCCTCTGTCTTATCACCTTCACGGGACCTTAGAATCAGAGCTTTCAGCGTAGGTGAACCTGTGCCCACTTTGAACTGAGTCACTATAAGGCATTATATTTAGTGAATCAAGGGCCAGGAAAGGAGGCTTAAGCTCAACAAGGTGAGTTTTTCATGTCGAGGGCCTTTGAGAGGCCAGCCTCACCACCAGAAAATAACTGTGTTGGTGACAAAAGCGGTGATGCAACAGAGACAGTTGTAGTGAATCTGAAAACATTCTTTAGGGTTTCTTACTTGTAAATTTTCCTTTGTATTTGCCACGTTATGTTTTTCACCATTAAAATCAATGGGCAAACCTCCTCTTACCTGTGAATGAGCCAGCTGTGTTCTTCTGCAGAAGGAAATGCATTATAAGTCATAAAGCAGAGAATGAAAAGATAAAGAGAAAGCAACTGGTTTTGATAAGTGCTCTAAGAATACCATGAATAAGTGCTTGCTGGCTTCAATATAACCTTTCCCAGGGAGGGCCTTTCATCTCTGATGTGTTTCACAGTTTTGCTTTGGACAGGAAACTACCATTTAAAACAAAACCCACGTTTGATGAAACTGCATAGGTTTTATTTACAGGGAACAAGGGGTCACAAACTTGCACTGGTGTTATGATCTCTGCAAAGGATGCGTTACATTTGAAAGCTCGGTGTTCATGGTGGACACTACTGAGGCTTCATTTTCAACTGTGATGAAACCCACACCCAGTGACTTACAACATTGTTAGCACTAAGTGCTTTGGGACTTAAAAACAGCCCAGCAGATGGCCACGGCTATTACTGTCAGCGATGGAGAAGGAACAGGACCAGGGAAAGAGGACACGGGCGGTGTTACAAGGCAACATTCCCACTGATCCATGGACCCACTCTGCCACAGACTACAAGGAAGCGGAAAATGAGCTGTGGCTGTTGCCATCAGTTTTATGTGTTAGACCTACCTCAAATTAAACCCGATTATAAATTATGTGGTCAATCTGATTTTGCTTTTCAAGTCTCTCTGAAAATCATGTTAACCTGTAGGAAATGCTGTCTCTTGGGTCCCTGCTCCTGTTTTTAACCTGATTTCTTTCTGCTAAGTCAGAACCAGGCATGTTCACCACCAAGATGTTCATGGCGAGAGGCAACAAAACAGAGACAAGCACAAAACAGGAGCAGATTGCCTTAAGAGGTTCATATCCTGGGATCACTGTCATGGTTCGCAGTTAAATCTAGAGGGTGCTCTGTGCTTATAATCTTAGCTTCTTTTTTGCTGCTGTTGAAATATTGGATGTGTACTGCGTTTCCCAGCCAGCAAAGGTCCCGTGTATGGAGAGGTCTTTTCTGTAAGTGGTTTTTCGGTTTTGGTCATAGACAAATGATTAACAGCAAAATCAATTGTGTCAGAGGTTGAGCAAGCTGTATCACATAACCGCATCTTGGGTTCAGTGTGGGGCAAAGTCATTTGAAACAAAAAGTAAGGCAAAAAAGGCAAACAGAAGGCTTTGCACAGCCTAAGCCATCTTTCCTAACAGTTTGTCCTCCATGTCTAGAGGGCAGTTATTCACTGGCTGTGTCTTCAGTAACTTTGAGTGAAAAAGCTGGCTGCCTGGAACACAGTCTTTTTACTGGGAGCAGATTCCTACAAGGATTCAGTTAATGTGCTTCTCTGTGTTAAATTGTTATCATCAAGCTGCCAAACTAGAAAGATGCAGCAGCCAATTGCTTATATTGCAGAGACACAGCTCCACAGTCAGAATAATGTCATTTGTAAGGTAACTATGGCACGTTAAGAAGTGCAGTACTTGGCCAAGTAATGCTGTGGTTGTCAGGTTTGTTTTGTATTAGTGAATATGATTGATTTTATATATAGAATCCATCATTCACATAGTGAGCAAATTAAAATGTATTTATTCTTTGTATCGCTAAAGCACTCAAAGACTTATTCCAGCATGAGAGACTGTGCTGTTAAAAGCCATAGTTGCACACACAGGGTGAGACTGTGTCTCTGCAAAGAACTGCTCGTCCAGCAGAGAAAGGGTAGGAAAATGCAATTATAGTCATCACTTTGCTCAGGGAAACAGAGATTCAGAAAACTTTTGTCCCTCTAAGATGCTTATTGTAGGTTAAGACGGATTAGGAAAATGAAGGGAAAGACTGTTGTGTCTCTGGAATAAAGAAGCTGTACCTGAAGTGAGAAGAGGTGCAACAGGCAACTGAACCCTGCAAGGCTTTGAAGACCCTGAGCTTCCTTTGAAAGCCCAACTGAACTGATGGGAATCAGCTCTTGGTGAGTTCTCTGCCCCAGTTAGGACCATTTAAGAGAGCAAATGACTCAATATTGTAGCTAGAAAACACCAAGACAGTTAATTTGATACCCTGACAGGTCTTGCTTCCAAGGGCTCAAGACTTCAGATGCATGGAGCAGTGAATCTCTATGGAAGGGCCCAGCCAAGGCTGGGGCTTTTGTCTTCCCCTGAAGCTGTAGCCCGAGTGAGGGACAGCAAAGGCTGTTTGGGGATGAAGGTTTTCACTGAGCCATGAGAATGGCTGCTTATGCCTCATGCCTGGCCTTCCTCTGGAAGACAGACATGAAAAGCAGCAATAAATGATTTTGCACTCCATTCCTAGAAAGCCTTTAGTTTACTTATCATTTCCCTCTTGCCAAGACTCGAGTATGTTTCATTTGTTGAAATATTCGTTCTCCCCCATCCCTTGGAGGGAGCGTTACACATGAAAGCGTGAATTGCTTCTAGGCAGATCTCTGCTTCCTTCCCACTTGCCTGCAGAAAGCTGCGCACCAACAATTGCAACATCTACCTTGTGAACGTGCCAGCTGGTGGGTCATCTGCTGTTTACAGTGTGCAGAAACAACCTTTTCCTACCTGAACCATTTTCAAACCACCCCTTGGCAGCCAGAACAGGAACGGTGATGGTTCCGAATCGCCGGTGGTACCTTGCAGCGATGAGCACAGCACGCACCACCTTTGTTCCATACCCTATCACGCTGTTGCTGCTTTACACCCTATTCTGCATCCTAACTATTCATTGCTTTGGGTAAGTGAATGTTCCTGAAGAAATGCCTGTGAGGTTTTAAGATACAGAGTGAAAATCAGTGCAGACTCTGCTCTCACATTGTGTGGCACATACTTGCTGTCTTGAGCGATTTCCGTATTTCTAATGAACAGCAAAAGATGTCAATTTGTGTAGTAGTCATGTAGTGTCATGTGTCTGCCGTTAGAGGAGTACTCCTGTTGGTAAACCTGAGATGACAAGTCGTTGTAATGTGGAATTCTGCTTGCAACATGCAACCTCTTCCTATGCTAGCTGCCTGCCATGTGCTGGAGAGACAGGGCTTTGTTTTCTTTCGGTACATAAATGGCGAGAATGTGGCTGATAGTTGTTTCTTTCCCTGCTAGCTTAATTCATTTTGCTCTTCCGGAGGAATGTGGTCAATCAGTGACTGTAATCTTTCCAAGCTAAGTATTTTTCCACTGCTCTCTGAACTTTGAGCTCTGTTTTCAAGCCTCAGTGAGCTGATGAGGTTTTGTACTTCCTATATTCCATGTGATTTTCAATATGCAGTAATGGGAGGGCCCCTTGCCAGGCACTGAATCGTACTTGATGCTATTCCTTGTCTTGGTGGATGAATTGGGAACAGCACTGTTGTAGTTTATTTGTCAAAGTAGGTATGAAAAGAAACTAATTGTCAACGTTTTACTAAAGCTTCCCACTTAGATTAGGTGCTACAAGGAAGCATTTGTCCAGGATGAGGATTTAATCAGAAATACTGAATCTGTCAAAAGAGTAGGCAGCATTGTAGCTGTGGCATCATGGAAACCTAGGAGACAGTTGTCATGTGAGAGAGAAAGAGGGGACTGGGATTCAGGCTCATTACTGGGATGAATGGGATTAATGAGTTAATGATTATTGTGAACTGAGAATAGAGTCTAAAGACTAAAGGGTTTGGCCAGCTAGAGAAAAAATAGGCTGCTCAACAAAGGGAGGTGTTTATGCAGGTTATGTGCTGAATGCACACCAGCCCTTAGCATCGGGCCTGGTGTTTGTCATGGACACGTCTGACCTTGGAGCTGTTTATCATGTACAGCAGCGAAGTACCAAAGTCCTTCCTATATAGCAAGCAGCAGGGAGCGATGGCACAAGGGCGGCAACTGATGATGCAGATTTGACTGCTGGCCGCTTGGCCACGTTATTTGGTAGGGCTTGCACGGCTTGAGATAAACCCCTAGGCTGGTGGGGACATGGATTGAGTTTCCATGCTAGATCAAACGTATGTCCTGGAGTCAGCCCTGCTGAGTGCTCTGCAGACTTACTCCTTGGCAGTGGGTCTCCTCTTGGGTATTGAAGAGTGGATTGGGTTTCATATAGAATCAATACCAGTATGAAATCAATACCAGTATGAATCAATAGCAGTAGTGAAATCTAGAGACTGCATAGAAGATCCGATGAGGTCTAACAAGCGTTAGTTCTCTTTAGCCAGTAGTTTTGCCTATAGGTGAGCCAAGTTGCTCTGTCCTCACAACTCAGTGATTTCACACCCTGAAGCTCTTGTGTCACTGAATGCAGTGGTGGAAAAGAGTCCCTTAACCTCAGCGGTACCAACGAGAGCATGGCCAGCAGCAGACATGCCCGGTCTGTGAGCGACCTGCCGCAGCCCCGTGACTGCATGCTGTCCGCGTGGTCCTCATGGAGCCAGTGTGACCCCTGCCAAAAGAAAAGGGTGAGTGTTTGTGGTTTAGGCACGAAGCCTGAGAAACCAGGAGGCAAATCCTTGCCTCTTTTGTCCGTGGGGTTGGGCAAAGAGCAAGGGAGCTGCCAAGGAAAGCCCTGTGAGGTGAGACTACAGGCTTTTGTTTTCAGGTGGCTTTTAGCTCTTCAGCTCACCACCCCCAGTAACTCCAGGCCATCTCACTGTCCTGATAAGGAAGTGTAAGCCCAGGCTTTGCAGTACCTTTGTGTCCAACACAGTCCTATTCGAGCGTCAGGGGAAAGCACCGTCCCCACTAATGGTCCCCCGTGGGACCTGGAGATGCTGCCTCTCAGGATTAAGATGCTTTTTCTTGTCTGCAGCAAGCATTTTCTACCTAAGAAGCCCCATCAAATGAAAGTAATGATCTCAGAAGCATGAAGAGCAAAATCCCCATTGCTAAAAAGACCTCTGCTAACAAGTTGGAGAAGCGATTCCCAGGCTTAAGCAGGAATAACCAGTGATGGGAGTTGGGAAGAGTGAAGCTTCATATCAAAGAGTTAATCTGAAAAGCTGGGGAAAAAAGGAGGGCTAACATATTGGACGGAGTAATTGACTGCTTCACAGCAGTGTTGTGGGCGGAAAAAATCCCTAATGATGCAGAGGGCCAAGTAAATACACTGACAGAAAATAACAAGGGATGTCGTTACTAGTGCTAATTGAAAGAGAGGAGATGTAACTGAATCCTTCCTCCCTCTTGCAAATGCCTGCACTACTCTGTCAGCCTCATTTAAACAAACTGTCAAAGAATAGCAAAATTTCCTTCATCCCTTGCAGTCCTCAATCCTTCCTTAGTAGAATTGAAACTGTGGCAGATCAGAAACCTTTGAGATGAGGCACGTTGCGAGCATCGCGCTTCTTTGCCGACACTTCTTTTTCTAACATGACAGCACTCTTAGATCAGCTCTTCCATCACAAAGTTTGTTTTTTTTTTAACTAGGGAAGCGTAAAATTCCCAATTTCTGTGCACTTTGAGTCAATATTTTTTATTTCATCACAGTACAGATTCGCCCGCCTGGAACAACCTTCTCAGTTCAATGGAGATCCCTGTGATTACACTGATAAAGAAACTGAAGACTGTGTTACAAATAATCCTTGCAGGAATAAAGTCAGATGTGATGGGTTTGTGTGTGCAGTTACAGGTAAGGATTTAGGGGGTGAGGAGTGGTGGTGCTCAGGTGGCTTCTCTGACGCCACTACGCTGAACTTTCTGCTTCTACAAGAGATTGCAGGGCCAAAGAGATGTCAGGAGTTGGCCTTGGTCCAGCCATGTTTATGCTGTGATTTATACCATGTTTATATCAGTGATTTTGAGTGAGCCATCAGACAACATCTGTCAGTCTAAAGCATGTCTTTAAAATCTCCAAATAGGAAATTAAAGCCCAGTTAGATCAGTAAAACCTGTAGCACAAGTGGATCCAACAGCAACAGGAGAACATGCATTCTTGACACATGCCCAAGGGCATCTTTGACACCACGCCCAAGAGCACAGCGGGATGTGATGGTGGGCCTCATGCCATTTCCATCCATCCCTATTAACAACTAATTACTCAGGGACACTGTACCAGCATGGGAAAGCAAGACAGCAGTTAGCTGTATCCAAAGGACACCTCAGTAATTATGTACATGGGAAGGGGGGAGGGAAATAATACCATATACAAGGTATCTGAAGAAGGTGAACCATCTCCAGCATGTGTTCTCAAAACTAAAAGATCTTAGCAACAAAAAAAGTGGGTTTTATACCTTTAATGAGGGTGTTGATGTTTTTTATAGGCTGAACAAGGAATTAGAAGATTAGGAAAGTTTTTAGCCAAACTGAGCAGGTGGAGTTTGTCAAATCAATGCAGATAGAGAAGAAATATCTTCCATACATGATAGGACCATTCATTACAGGAGTTTTCCGTTTCTAGGCTCTGAGTCAGGGTGTGTGATAACAGATTGATTTATGAGCGATTTACACCTTGCATCCTAGGGAGATGCATTCCACGGAGGCTGCTTTGCAATGGGGATGATGACTGTGGGGACCAGTCAGATGAAAAGAACTGCAAAAAAGTGTTTAAGAAATGCGACCGGAAGATGGAGCAATATTGGGGAATAGAGAATCTGGCCAAAGGGTAAGTCAGTGACCTTCATGAGGTGGTTCCTGAGTTAGGGATAAGAAGGATCTTATGTGGCTGCAGACATAAATGTCGAACAGAGAAAAGATGCAGCAACTACTGTATCCAGGAGTTAAGATGTGACAGCCTTTGGGGTCCTGATCCAAAGCCCGATGGGAAAATCCTTATTGACTCTATGAGCCTTTTGGAGAGAAACGAGGTGAGTAAAAGTCCCAGATATACCCAAGGGCACTTGTGCACCCTGTGAAGACCATCAGCTCAGTTTACAAATGTTGTGCAAGGGCCTGTGTGAGCTCTTTGTGTAGCCAAAACTTGGCGAGTAAAGAGGGAAGTGTCAGCACTAAAGGTTTCTCTGATGTCTACAGGTACTTACACTTAAATGAATCATTGGGAGAGTTTCTATAATCCAATTATTTTGCACAGATGAAAATACAGTTAGACTTTGGCCTAATCCAGTCTGTGGGAAGCAGGAATGTCCCATCCTTTAGGAACTGAGAGACTACTTCAAACTGTGACTTTGAAATAAAAGCAAAAGAAGGTTTGTTAAAATCTGAAGATAATGCTATATCATTTGTTATAGAGTGACTTAAATCAGCATCTTTGAGCAACCTGGTCTAGTGGAAGGTGTTCTTGCCCGTGGTAGGTTTGTGACTAGGTGGTCTTTAAGGTCCCTTCCAACCCAAAACATTCCGTGATTCTAGGATCTTGCATTGCCTAACACTGAAACCTGATTTGTATTTTTGAATTGGTATTTTTGCATTGGTGTGAGGGGAGGTCAAAATTCCTTGGATTTGTTTCAGGACAGTGAGAGGTTGTGGAATTTGTGTCCTTTGTGCGAGTGGGGTAGGATTAACCTCCATGCTAGCAAACGGCAGTTTTGTGGGGATTAAAATGCAAGTCTGAACTGATCCAGCTTTTACAGGCTAAAACTGTGGCAACTTTCTGTAAGATCAGGCTGTGTGAAAAGAATTTTTTCTCATTCTGCAGGGAAAAAAAAATGCTTTTTACATAAAAAAAAAAACACAGAAAAATCATATTGCAAGGAAAAAATGATAATTTCCTTCTTGCTCTCTGGAGATGCAGCTGCTGCACATGTCACTGCTGATGCTTTGTACTTCTGGGTTTAATCAAAATTAAAAATAATGTTGGACAATTATAGGAACATGCTTCTCATCTCTTTGAAGCTCCAGTTGCTCAGTAATTTGCTTTCAGTGGCCTTCCCTTCTTTCCAGCTGATTCTAAAATTAGAGTTAATATTTTACAGCTTCGGAGTCATTATCGCGCCAAGTCCCTCTCCCCAAAATAGGGAGAGGCAGATCTAATGGAGAACTGGAGTGCTAATAGGACACAACATGGGCTGTTAGCAATTCATCTTCTTTTTGGTGTATTCTCATCTAATGACTCTTGTTACTATCTGGGGGTGAGTGCCATGTCCTCAGCTGTGTGCTACGAGGGTGATGTGAGGGAGTCCTGACAGTGAGCAACAGGAGCAATAGGAAAAGCAAATGATGGGGTTTAATCACCTCAGCTAAAAAGGTTGCACTGCTGCATACTTTCTTAGGTTAAGATTACTGTCCATTATCCACTAAAATCAAAAGGAAGCTTCCCAGTGTTTTCAAGGACAATTGCTTGAGTACCTTTATTCGTGTTCCCTCTACTGACCTCTGGTTGATCTTTGACCAACCTGGCAAAGACTAAGACTGATAAATCACAACAAAGAAAGGTGAATTAAAAAGTAGTATGGATTAATGACATGGGTTGGCAAATCTGTCTTTGAGGATCCTGCTGACCGCTGCTATAATAGTGCGGGCATTTGGGGATGCTCAGGGTGGGCAGCCTGGTGGGACAGGGGCTTGGTTGGTCCAGTTTGTTCTGCTCTTCCCAGAGAGTTCCAGTACAGGCTACAAGAGTTGCTGGTGCTGGTGACAGGAATCTGGTGTCATTTGTAGCTGGGTGTGTAAATTACTTTTCATATCCATCAAAGTGTCCAAATTTGACTCTCTTTTTTCCTTCTTGTTAGTTTTTCTGGAGCAACTGGGTTGGTCAGGCAGGGAAAGAGGCAAAACTGTCTTTTGGGGCTTCAAAATAAAGAATCATAGAATAGTCAGGGTTGGAAAGGACGTTAAGATCATCCAGTTCCAACCCCACTGCCATGGGCAGGGACGCCTCACACTAGACCATGTCACACAAGGCTCTGTCCAAGTATGAAACAAGGAGCCCTCAGCCAAAGAGAAGTCTTTTGCCATTCTCGGCCAAAGCATTTGATCTTTACTTTAAAATAGATAATAATGTTAGCATTTTGCTGTTATGCTTCATGTACAGATTAAATGTCTTCACAAACAACTTGGAAGGATTAGTTCTTGATCACAGGTACTATGCTGGGGGATGTTCTCCCCATTATATCATGGACACAAGATTCAGAAAGCCGTACAATGTAGAAAGCTACACACCAGAGGTATGTGTCAGATTTGCCTGCAAATATACATGTGTGTATTCCAATACATTTAGTGTAAAATACTGATAAAGCTTCATTATTAACCATTTTATAAAGCATCACAAAATTCATGATACCCAATGGAATGAGACTGAATTTAGCCCTGCTTCTAGAACATCATCATACCCCATGTACTCTTCTCTATGAAGCTGGACACAACCCCTTACAATATCCGTGTGCACTTGAACAGATGCAAGTGCATCTTTCATGCAAGATGCATGTTCACCTGGACCTTGTCGTTGTGAAAACTGAGCCTAACCATCCCGATGCAATGTGTGCAAGAGGGCCCAAAAGCCACCCAGCATTGTAGAGTGCCTCAAGAGCCAGGCTGGGAAAGCTGCCCTTGTGCAACAGCCTAGGATGTAGCCACACGCCACATGCTTTGTGTGAAAGCTTCAAAGCTGTACTTCAAATGTTATATATTTGACCTTAATGCTTTTGATGACATAGCATGATATTTTTGAGTGTTGCCCACTAGGAAACCTTTTCCTTTTAGAATTCATAGTTTAATTGATGCCCGTGTTCAAGATTCACCTTCTTTGCATGAGATTGACATACTAAGTAAAAGCCTAAGGTCATTGCAGTACAGAGGAGATAGTAGCTTTCCTGCTGCTGTAAATCAAGTACTCTTGAAGTACCAGTGTTAATAATAATAGTGCTTTGCAATTACACAAGGCTTTTCATCTTCAAAGTGCAAGCATTAATTCACATGTATATTTGTATCTGTATTCCTTCCCTGTGCTTCGGGTATACAACTGCTATGCAGGAAATTAGATGTGTTGGTTTTGCTTTCTTTTTAGACCAAAGGCAAATATGAATTTACAATGACTGAATACGACTCCTACTCAGATTATGAAAGCAGTGTCCTGAAGGCAAAAGCTTCACAATCTAGCTTCAGCTTTGGTATAAGAATACCGCAAGTGTTTGAACTTGGTTACAATTCAAATGACAACAGGTTCAAGAAGTTCATTCAAAGGATGAAAAGGTTTTCTTCAACTGTAAGCACTGCTCCACTTAATCCTCTGCTAACATGTTGTGTGTATGTGTGTGTGTATCGGTCTGACCCTCATCCTCAGGCCAGCAGCCCTGACTAGAGTACATGAAATACTTCCTCTTGATGGGACTTTACGGTTTGTGTTGGTCAAGTTTTACTAAGGCCACAACAACTTCATCTGTGCTTACAGCATCCAGGAGCTTTTCTATTCACCTGCTGGCCAGGAACCAGACTGCCTGACCTCCAAAGTCAGCCACGATCTATTGCAATCATCCAGTGTCCTGCTGGGCATCCACATTTGGATGTTTGTAGTGAAGTCATTTAGAAAGAAAAGATCTAAGAAGCCACTTGGAATGACCTTTCTTCCATACAGTGGACTTGCTAGTAGATGTACAAGTGACATTGCTAACAGGGCCTTGGTGCTGTACCCTGGCCACAGGATGCAGTGCACCTTGCCCTGCCAGCCGTTAAGAAGGTCTTAACCACTGATGCCAAAGCAGTCTGGCAGGTCAGTGTGTATAGGCAACGCAGCGACTCCTCCAAGGCAATCTGTGCAGGTAGAACTGGGGTTTAGCTAGTGAACACTGGAGCCCAAGGTTCTCTCTGCCTTATGGGTGGGTTACAGTGACTAGTAGAGAAATATGGGGTGAAAGAAGGGTATATAGGATTTCTCCAGTTCTAGAAATTTCTGCACCTCTACACACAGTCCAGAAACCAGACTGTGATGTGGATGGCTATTGTCATCCACACAATATGCATCCATTGTATGGATGATATTCAGCAATGTCTGTGCCATCATTGCTGAATATCATCTCCCACATGAAGAGCCATCCCTCTTTTAGGGGCATCAGCAAGGCAGGAGCTATCACTTCGGTAAATGGCAATGCAAGCAGCGAAGCCAAGGTGTTCAACTGTGGGGCAGCATTGACAATAAAGTAAAACAAAGCCTGCTAGCAGGCCTTCCATGGGTTTAATTTTACACATATACATCCCATTTTACTTTGGCTGATGTGGTCTGTCTGCTGAGTACATCATTGACCACATCATTCACGCACAACGCAAAATAAGGATGGCACAATCACTTCCAGTCTCGTCTGCAGAGATTTGGTCGTCCTGTGATCTGAGGCTCACTTTAAGCTGGCTGGAGATGCTTTAATCTATAACTCCTAGGACTGGTTTATGAGATTTAGTCTGAGGTAGTGTGCAGCATCATTTGATTTCTCTTTTTTTATCTGTTATTGCAGTAAACAAACCTAGCTCTTGTCAATGCTTTAATAGTAGCACTGATCTATGTCTCTCCCTACAGTATAAAGCACATTCGGGAATGGCAGAGTATTCCGTGTTGCTATTAAACTCACATTTCCTTCCTGCAAAGAGGCATTTCCCATGACAAGATCAGGGGTGTGTGAGAGGCATTTGCATATATCCATAAAGAAACCCAATACTAAGTCTTGATTTTATGATTTAAGCTACAGAGTTCTACATTGACGCTCACACACACACACACACCAATGTGCTTGTCCTGCTGGACCCCAAAAAAATGGACGCTAAATCCTTTGAACATAACAAAACACCTCTTCTGTTCTTGACCTTTATGCCAGAATGGGGAGACATAATATTTATCCCTGTACACATATCTACACAGAGGCGTTTAAATACGTGTGTGTTTGTGTCTCCTTTTTTCCTCTGAGTTTCATTAATGGCATATTCTGTGTAATACAAATATAAATTTGGATCAGAATTCTCATTTCACATAGAAATCACCAGGATTTCAGCTTTCCTAATCTTTCAGGATAGCTTGTGAGAGGCAAAGGCTGGTCAACAGTGTTAGGAGCAGAGCAGTCTCAAGGGATGCTCCTTGTGTCCTTGCACCCTGCATCTGTCAGCGCAGAGCCTGGAGCCTCTGGAGCCCATGTCCTAGTCATGCCTTAAGTCATCACCTTACTTGGAATGGCTGTCTCTCCCTCTTCCTTCTACCCTCTCTAATACCCATCAGAATCCTGATTTTCGGAAACTTTGCTACTAAAAGGTTTGGTTTTGCTAAATTTATAGATTTCCAGTTGCAAACTTAAATTGATAAATCCTGACCAGCATTAATTATTTAATAGCAAATAACTACATGCTGTCACAAGAATATCGTCCCTCAGTTGTGGATTCGTTTGTGCCTCTGTGTTTCTTGTAGTCCAGCAAATTCATTCATGCCCGTTCTGAGCTGGCTGTTGCTGCTTACAAGCTGAAGCCCCGAGCCCTGATGCTGCATTACGAGTTCCTGCAGAGACTCCATCAGCTCCCATCAGAGTACAGCTACGGGGAGTACCGAGAGCTCTACAGAGACTATGGCACCCATTACATCACGGAGGCCACTGTCGGTGGCATCTACGAATACACTTTAGTCATGAACAGCAGTGAGCTCCAAAAGGCAGGTATGTGGTTGTGAAGAAGCTTTGGAGCCAGCTGTTTGGTTGGGAAAACCCCTCTGCAGACACCCAGTGATGGTTCAGGTCTGAGGTCAGAAAACAGACATAGTGGAAAAAGGAGTCAACAACATCTCAAAGAAAGCCTGCAGGAAATATGGCAGTATAAGTGCTTTATGGCAGTGAATAAAGAGCCTGGTTTTCAAAGCGTGCTCAGCATCATGGGCTTCACCTAGCTCTCAAGCTATGGGTGCTGCCAGTTCACAGAAAAAGGGCCCTGTAGCAAGTATTTTAGATGACACGTTTTGGAGGCTGACAAGATGTTGAGATGAATGGGAATCGTGTAGCTGAATGCTTTTGTTAGCTTTGAAAACCTTCACCCAAGTTCTTTTTCCATTGCTTTTCAAATGACAGTTTTGAAACACCTTTCGCCTCGAGAGCTGTTCCAGCATGTAGGAAACAGTAAATAATTTGCTGGGTGACTCTTGTGCCTGACATTGCTCTTGCTCTTTGACTCTGGCTTCCTTTTCTGCGAGAAATGATGATTGTTGTGGAGGACAGAGCGTGCCGTGTGACATTAATCAATAGCTGCACTCTCTTATTTATTCATTGGCATGGGAGTGAGTAACTGCCTTTGCTGTCTGTTTGCAAAAGCATTCTGTGGGCTCTGCTGTGTGTGACTCAGTTTGCTCTCTGCTGTCTAGGAAGTTGCTTATGCCGTAGTTAGATACAGCCCAGAGGGACAGAATTGAGATTCAGATTTCAGATATTCAAATCATTAGCACTGCCCAATTTCTCAGCTGTTGGTGTGGGCCCCTCGCAAGCCGTGTTCCTTTGAACTAATGTGAATCACTGTTTGCATCAAAATGCTACTTGTCAGCATGTGCTGACCTAGATGAGGGTCCTACAGTAGTACCAACATTTTCACACTACCCCCAGGGCTGAGCTGAGCTGTAAGTTCTCTCTGGGGATTGGTAGGTCTAGTCTGAGAATCCACGTTTTTCCCTTCAAATCCATTATGTTTGCACTGGAAATCAGGCCTTCTTTTGCAGGTGGGAAGAAATTCTTCCCTGTGAGGGTGCTAAGGCGCTGGCACAGGGTGCCCAGAGAAGATGTGGCTGCCCCATCCCTGGCAGTGTTCAAGGCCAGATAGGATGGGGCATGAAGCAACCTGGTTTAGTGGAAAGTGTCCCTGCCCATGGCAGGGGATTGGAACTGAATGAGCTTTAAAGTCCCTTCCAATCTAAACTGTTCTATGAGTCTATGTAGTATCAAACGTTACATCATATAGTTAGTACTTGCACTTCTCTTACATATAATCCAATATGCCAGATGTGGCTGTGCTTCATGTTTTAATGCTTTCAGTGGGAAAGGCGGCAGGAGAGAGGTCTGGATTGTGCTGTACAAGGATGTCATAAAATAGTGGTTCCTGCCCTCAGGTGTACGTGACTATGAACATTAATAGGGGCCATCCTATGTCAGCCCAAAACTCAGTGCGTCTTCTCTTCTGATCTTGACACTGGCCAGTATCAGATATGAGGAGAGCATAAGAACAGGACAAGCATACAGCAATACTTGTGTTGTGAGCTATGTAAACTCATGTACAGGCTCATTTGTATCATCAAGACATGAGTTTAACTAAAAAAAGTAAAGAATTCAGGGAGAGATGGGGGATTACAACAAAAAAAGCAGAGAAAGAAACAAGATACTTGAGTGTGATATCTGGTGTTTCACCATGATAACTGCTTAAATATTCTTGAGTGTCAGGTCAGCAAGGGCTTTGGAGAAGAATATATGAAGGATTTGCAGATTTTTAGGGGAAATTCTTATATGTCATGAAAAATCACTGTAGTAGAGCTTTATGGAGAAACTGCCATGAAACAGCAAAGGATTCGAGATGTGAGGTATCAAAGGGAGGAAAACCTTCTTCATCTGGTACTCTGAATAAGCCTGGCTCCTGATGATGGGGATGAGTGGTGGGTAGTCCTTTGTCAAAGACGTTTGGTGTTTAAGTCACAGCCCAGGCTCCCACCCATTGCAGCTCTGCATAACCCAATACAGCTGGGTTAGCAATTAAAAGCCTCTTCTTCCAGCATTTACCTTGCATTTCTCCTTGGGTTTGGAGTTCTATAAAAGGCAGAGATTTAATTTCATTGTATATAGATTTGTTAAATATCCAGAAAAAAAAGGCTTCTTCATCACATCTTTTTTTCCCAAAGGAAAAATACTTACCAACTCCCATTTTCTGTGTAGATGGGCATAAAACATCAAACATTTCTATTAAAACTCCAAATTTTTGGTGTCTACTTAAGGTTTTTCTCTGAGTGATGTCCAGAAATGTGCACAGCGTGGCTTTAACATTGGTGCAAATATTTACAGCGTCTATCTGAGTCTTGGAATAACTGATGCTGGCTGTAAATCCCTTCTAAAAGAGATTGGAGGTAAGCATGAAGCACTTCTCCCATTTAATTTCTAGCATTTGTCATAGTGAAAACAAGACTTTGTTGTCTTGCCTGTTTAGCAGAGGTGCAGATGTCTCAAAGCTTGCTTATTTGCTGGGTAGAGAAGAAATATCTGCTCGGTGTCCCAGAGAAAAGCAGGGACAGGTCAACCATTACCAGCCTGGCTGGTGCTACCAATCAACCCGGCGCTCAGCAGAGCAGCCCAGCATGCTCTTTTTTGCACCCAAAAAAAAGCCCAAATGGGGAAAATAGGGAGGTAATGGTGTTGTGGAAGCCTCAGGGGACATCTGGGAAGCTGGGAGTGTTGCAGTGGGAGGAGGATGCACCTGAAGTATTCATGGTGGTGAGGAGCATGAGCTGTAGAATGACCTGCAAGCTTATAAGCATAGGGAGGAAATTTAGGGTCAAGATATGCGGTGCAGGAGAGGAGGGTGGGAGTATTGCTGCAAAGAGGGCACAGGATATGCAGGGTAGGAAACCAGGCTTCAGGTGTGGCCTTTTTCTCTTCAAGAGGCCCGTTTTTGCCCTCTCGGTAGGATGGGTCATATACAGGGCTGTTTAGCTGTCAGCTTGTATCTCAATATCTTGTATTCAGAATATCAGTATCTTGTACTAGGAAGATGTTCTTCCCTGTGAGGGTGCTGAGGCGCTGGCACAGGGTGCCCAGGGAAGCTGTGGCTGCCCCATCCCTGGCAGTGTTCAAGGCCAGGTTGGACACAGGGGCTTGGAGCAAGCTGCTCTAGTGGAAGGTGTCCCTGCCTGTGGCAGGGGTTGGAACTGGATGAGCTTTAAGTTCCCTTCCAACCCAGACCAGTCTGGGATTCAACTGCAATCCACAAAGACATACCTGAGCAGAGCTGGCCACTTCCTGAATGCATTTTTGCAGACAGCACCTCCAAAAAACAGTATGTGGAAGACTTCATCATCCTCATTCGTGGTGGAGCAAGTGAACACATTACCACACTGGCTTACAAAGACCTGCCGACGGCTGTGCTCCTGCAGGAGTGGGGAGATGCTGTACAGTACAACCCTGAAATCATAAAGCTAAAGGTACTGTACCCATCACTTCATTCAGCCTCACTTGGCAGAGCTGCTTGGAGAGCTCTGTGCTTCAGTAAACAGGATTTAAAGAAAACAGGGAGATTTATGGGGCAAATAATAGATGTGTGTAATGCAGATTAGTTTTTCTAAGACTGAGTGTTCAGAAAATCAAAGGTGTGATGTGTTGGAAGTATGTGATGTGATGTGATGTGATGTGATGTGATGTGATGATAACAGCTTTAACCCTTCTAACTTGGTGATGCAGATGTGGTCACTTGCTGCCTACCAAGCAGATTAGACGATGCATCTGCTTTACCAATGTATCACTTATCAAATAATACATATCTGGCAGCTTATATTTTATAAGGACATTTTTGTTCTCCAAACTTCTGCCTTCTGTGAGCACCAGTGACTGTTCAGCAGCAATTCTCTCTGGTTCAGAGGATCAGGTAGTTCACCATCCAGGCCTGGGTGTTCGTGCAGCTTAGCTAAACCTTAGAAATACCAGTTAGGTTTTGAAAAGTGAAGGGGTTTTGATCCTGAAGAGGTTTAGAACAGCAGGGCACTGTAAGAGTAAAAAGTGAGCAGAAGTATGGAGCTATTCTGGCTCATCATTTTTAATGTCAAAATAAGCTCACTCAGAGTGAATAGTACAAAGGTGTGAGAAAATATCCTTTTAAACAGGAGTTTGGGCTGGTAGTGTTGGAAGTTAATTCTATTATTGTATTTGATTTAATGGTGAAATTCAATTTTAGGCAACAAATCTATTTGTAAAAGGTGCTTGTTTCTCATCGAAAATCCCGACATTACATTAAAAACGAGATGAATTCTAAAAAAAAACTATGAAAAAAAGCAAAAATCCCTATTTTGGAAACACAGCCAGTGCCTGCCTAGCACTTGCTGCAGCAGAGGTGGCTTTCCCAAACCCCTGGTGTGCTGTGGATTGACCTTTCCGAAGTGCCCTGGGAGGTCTCTGGGCAGAAGACAACAGAACTGCAGCCCTCTGTGCTAGATCCCACGTACAGAAAATGCTCCCACAAGAAATGCTGATGTTGTCTTGCCTGGCATCAGTGACCAGGCTGCCCAGTGGACTGATGTAGTTTGGATTTGGTTATCTATAATCCTTCATTTCCATGCCAATACCCCTGTGGGGCTTGAAGATCAAAAGTACCAGCAGAGTGTGACTAAATGTCAGCCCAAGAATGCTTAGTTAGGGAAAACTAAAGCAAATCAGTTCATAAATCATCTGCTGAAAGGACTTGGCAGGTCACTCTTAGTGTATTTCCTCATTTGTATGATCTGAATTCAAAAGGCAAAGCATGGATCACATAATTGATGAAGAGAGGATGTGCAGCAGGAGGAAATGAGCATTATTTTATTGAAACATTCTTCTATTTCTTGTAGACTGAGCATGCCTCTGGCATGAGTGGGTGACTGGCAATATTGAGACCATTCTTTAACTTTCCCTTGTTCTCAGGAGAAAAATAGATGAGCAGGTCGAAGTCTTGTTGGTCCCTACTGCATGTTCACTGTATTCTGCACCCCCATATCTTCTCCCACTGACCCCATCCGCAGATGAAGATCACTATCCTCTCCCTTCTGAAGGCAGTGGAAACCCTTATCTTGGCTTCATAGGGAGAAATCAGCCTTGAAATGTGAAGTGGTTATAGTGAAAGTGTTTGAATGCCTGTGATCATGCGCCCCTGGCTGTGCTGTGTGGCTGTAGGAGGAATGAAGGAGATTCTTGTGGGTGGGTTTGGGGGGGACCTTCTTTAAATCAGAGTGGGAGAGCACTCAGGAAACATAAGTTTGAGCAAAACTGATTGGAAAATGTCAATATCAAAAGAATGGATGAGAGAGGATTCAATGAAACTTCTTTGCCAGTTTGTTGACTAACTGTTGTATTTTGTTATGCATTTTCAACTCCTTTGGTGGTATAAACCAAGAGAAGGATCCCTGTGAGTATTCCTGATGTCGCTGCTTTGTCATTTGCAAGGTTTAAGGGAATACTAATGGGAAACCTAGAGCCTTTATTTCCCTCTCCAGCTATGCCACCACCGAGCCCAGTGATGCTCACACCATCTTAAATCTGGGTTTGAATGCAGTTTCTTCCCTCCCTCTAGGCAGAGCCGCTGTATCAGCTGGTGACTCCAACTGACTTGGCCAATGCAATCACCATAAAAGAAAACCTGCGACGGGCTCTTGATGAGTTTCAGATGGAGACGAGTTCTTGTCGCTGTGCTCCCTGCCACAGCAATGGCATCCCCTTTCTGCAAGGTGGGTGGATTTTGCACCTTTTCTCTAGGAACGAAATGAGCTGGGAGTATGTGGGGAGCGAGTAAGGTTGGTAAGTGACCCGCTCTTTTGTTTCTCCTGTCGTTTCTTTTCCAGGTAATTAATTTTTTGTATCTAAGTTGGTCTATTTCTTCAGTGCCTCCAGGAAGTAAAGCTGGTAAAGTCGAGGGATGTGTCTTTGTAAATGGGGGTGACCATCTGTATCAATTCTGTGGAAGAATTTGCTGCTTCTCAATTATGCATTAAAAAAAGAAAGCCTTGACATCTTTAAGTCTCCTCCTTTGCTTTTAAGACTGCATCCATCCTCCTAGAGAAGTGACTACTGTCTCAGCATTAATTAGTGTTTGTAAAAGCGTTTTGAAGATGAAAAGCACCATACAAGTGCCAAGCGCAGTTAGCACCATCACCTCCCCCCGCTTTTAGCAGAAGCTGTCCTCCTTTGTAAGCAGGTTGTGATTTAAAAGTGAAGGGGAAAAATAATCAAATTGAATGAAAACTGCACTGCTTAAACAGAGAGATATGATGTGATGGGAGCTTCTAACAAAAGGACCATTTTGTCAAGTGCCTAATTCCAATCTGCATCTGCAAAAGTCCTGATGAGAATCGTTATCATCTAAATGTATCATCTAATGCAGAGACCGTCCTTTCACATACCAGCTAGTTGATTGTAGCACTTAAAGGATTTGTCTCGTGATTACCCTTGTTTAAATAACTTTTTAGGAGCTGAATCAGGTTAGAGTTTCTTTTAGGATCTTCTCAACAAGAGGTTTAAATGACCATTTATTTTCCTAAGCGGGAGCTCCCGTTCTGCTGTGGGATGCACATCCCAGCCCTGGGCAGCCAAAGCAGGGTTACAGGGACTTTTCCTCTGCCACAAAGTCAAGCTGGAATGCTCCTGTCCTAGGTGCTCATTCTTGATCCTGCAGTTTGCTCCCCCTCAGCTCTAGCAAGATAATCTCTTTTGGAGAGGAGCAGAGGGACTCTGTGGTACCCTGGCTTGCTGAATTGCTGCACTGGTGTAGTTGAGGTTGAGCTACAATAGCAGCGATGGGAACAAATGACCGGGAAGGTGAGAGGGATGGCAGGGTAGTCACAGCTCCCTGCTTTATTGCTGTTTTATACTCTCACCATTAGAGAAAGATGCTGATAATTCACCTGCTGTCCCTTCCTCACAGAAGATGAAGCCCTGAAAACAAATGGGCATCTGGAGGGAGCTGCGACCTGAAGTCTCTAGTCCCACCATCTCTGCTTACTTTCAGGAACTGAGTGTGAATGCTTGTGTCCCCTTGGCTACAGTGGCACTGCCTGTGAGATCAACGAGAGGAAAGGTAAGGTGGATCCCAGATCCATGGAGACAGTCCCAGATATATTTAGGAGTGTCCAGGGATTGCAGCTGATGGATGGGGGATAATGTGCTGTCTGTCCCCGCTATGCCCAGACCAACTGACAAGGTGTTAGGGTCCTGCAAAGGTGACAGATACGCTTTGCCTGTCCTCTTCTGTATTTCTTTGCCACTCACAGGGGGGTGGCTTTATTTTGCAGTGCTAACGTGCATAAATGTCCCTAGTATTTGCATCAGAATACAACCCCCTACCTAATGTACAATCCACGACAAGCCTCAGGTTTCCAACAGCTCTGTTTCTTAAGTTTTTCCCTTTGATACAGCCAGTATGTTGCAAACTGGTTTCCCCCAGATATGCTACCATGCATTTTAATCTTTAAATCTTATTATGTTGTTTTGAAGCATTTACTAATGCTTCTTGGTCACTTTTCTATCACTGCTGTCTTCCAACTGATGCTCTCAACTCCTAGTTTAGGGTGATCGGTGGATTTAATCATTTTGTTTACTTCTTCCAGCTCATTAATTTAGGTGCTAAATAATACCAGATCTCAGGCACTCAGAGCTCTGGCACCATCCCACAATTTGATGTACTGCATCTATCATTGAGCTTTGTTTACAGTCTGTTATCCAGTATTCATTCTGTATGACTGCGTCCCGGCTAAGCCAGGCTGAAAAGTGCTTTAAGCCAAGATTTCACCAAGCAGAGGGTCAATTTTGTAGGTGTTTCTAAGGAATTCTATGGAACTTTAAACTGTGGAGTCTCTTACACCTTGTTCCAGTCTGCTTACCACGCACATAATCGCATCCGACCCCCCCAAAGGCTCACATCCCTCCACTTATCAACATGTAACTTCCTTCCTCACGCCCCTTTCCTCCTTTTATGTGTTGCCTCCAAGTTCAGCTCCATCATTCTCAGGATTTTGAATTAATGTCACTCACATGCTCAGGGTCCAGAAGAAATGGTGTAATAGGAAAAGCGATGGATAGAAAACTGAATATTCAAGCTGTTGCTCATTGAAGAAGAACGTGCTAACGTTTCCCCTAGCACCTCAGAATGTGGCTGACACAAGTTGTGTTGCTGTTTTTCTTACCTAGCCTTCACTAAGGCAGAGAGAGAAACATCCTACAAGCAAATATAAAGCTAATTGGGTTTTTTCCCTTGTCCTTGCTGTACAGTTTGAATGAACACCAGAAATATTGAACAGCGAATTAGCATCTTTAAGACAATCACTCTTTGTTGTTGACTCAAGTATATTAGTGGTGTGGACAGGGGCAGAGCTGTTTGTATTAAATATGATTCATGGAAGCTGACAGCTATTCCCATGGAAAGAGCTGCTCTACTCTGACAATTCTTTCTGGCTTTGGGTTCTTTTTTGCAGATGCTGCCATTAATGGAAACTGGGGTTGCTGGGCCAGCTGGTCTCCATGCTCAGGAGGTCAACGAACAAGGAGACGACAGTGCAACAACCCTGCCCCACAGAATGGTGGTTCATCGTGCTCAGGGCCTGATGCTGAGACACTTACTTGCTAGAGGGAATCATTAGGAACTTACACAGAACTGATGAGCAGTTTGCAAATGGAGTGGGAGAATGTCATCCGACTGGCTTGTTAAATTGGCCTCAATCTGCTTCTGAGTCTCACCCAAGTGCATTGAAGTTGGAGACACTTCAGAAGATGTTGGGAACTGGATGTGTGTTATAGATCACACCTTCAGACATGCTTTGCAGTTGTCTCATGGGACTGAATGTGCTTACTCTTCTTAAGTTTTACTTTTCTCTGTTTTTATTGCAGTGGGCTGAGACAAGCTTTATCTCCTGCCTTCTTTGGTAGCTGCATGATTTTAAATTTCACTTGTCTTGTTTGTGAAGGTTCCTTTGAGATAAGGAAAGACTCTTTGATCTTACGTGCACCAGAATGCGCACTAATATGCAGCTTCTGTGAAGGCAGCTGTGTGATGTGGAGCAAAATACAGCCTATTAAAGTCTAAATCTCAACCAGCGCAATAGTGCCTAATGTGACATGTAAAGCTGCTGTGCCTCATACCCCAGTTTCTCAATTTATTGTATTTAACTTAAAATGTCCATTGTATTAGAGATTGTCTTGAAGGAGTGGAAACTGAATTGGGAAGAACAGTCTGGGGACACCAGTGTTGTTAGACTATATAGCAGCTGTATTCCTCCTGCAGCAATGAGCTTCCTCCTGTGCATTGCTTGAAGTAGAACAGATACACTGAGAGTATTGGATATGCCCTGGATATGCTCAGATACACCGAGGCTCTGGTTCTCTTGAAAGGGAGGGAAGGATAGGGGGATGCTGCTTGGATGGGGAACTGGAAAGCAGCTACTGCTCCTTCTGCTTCAATGGTATATATGGATACATGTGCAGGCTGAGCGGCCAGCTTTTCTGCCATGGGCAGAATAAATGGAACATCTTGGAACAAACATCTTTGCATATCCCCTGAGGTCTTCTGCCTTTAGTAGTTGCCTCTGCCCCAAGCAGGCTCTGGTGCATTGGTTTGATCCCATGAAAGCGTGTATTTCAGCAGCTGCATTGTTAATCCGCTCAGGCTAGGACATCTGAGATGGAAGGAGTTTGCTATGGAAAGACTCAAAGCCAAGTGAATGGTTTCCCCTTTGTTACTGTCCCTGGAGCTGTGCATTGCAATCCAAGTCAAAGAGAAACTTGTAGTGTAATACTGTGCACTATTTCATGACTGACCTGAGCCTGAATCATTCCAGGGGCTTTTCCTATGGCCCTATTGGTGGTTAATGATTTTTTGCAAAGGCATTTGATGGGGCATCATGTAAAATAATCAGCAATGGCTTTGCTCCAGGAGAATGATTCCACCAGTGCAAAGTTGTTCATACGTGTTGTGAGTCTTCCAACATCTGCAAGGTCAAACACTATTCTGAAGGTTCCTAGCAATGCTGGTGATGATGGGTTGGTATCATCGGTTCCTCTCCTTTCAGGCTGACGTTGTCTGAATGTAACAACTCAGGCTCTCTGACATCTGAACAATGGAACATGCATTTAGTTGTAGCCCTCATGCCGCCTCCACACTTGTTGACAAGGTTTCTGTGACAGCTTTAAGAAAGGAAGAGCGCATTGCATATGTAAAAGAAGAGTGTTCTGTACTCATTATGGGCTTCATAATTGAGCTGCCAACCCGAAACGTTTCCGTTATCCACTGTGTAGCTGTGATATCTTTTGTCTGAGAAAGATTTGTCAAAGATGATCATTTTGGGTCATGGGTAATGAGGTCACTGCTTATGTGAAGTATGTTATCCTTCAGAGATGCCTAAAGGGACACTTTGGAAGCTCTGCAGCAGAGAACCCTGGTCATGGTTCATGGGTGCCCGTGAGGACAGGTACTGCAGTGTGGTTGCCTGCCCCTCTTGAGAAGCATCAGTGTAATCTGATCAAGGAAATTTCCTAGATGAATCAAGTGGCTTTGGTAAATGTGACCACCTTTCTGGATAATCAAGCTGGAGTAAGCACTCTGACACATAGCCATGGCACATCTATCCACTGCTGTGGTGAGGAGAGCCAAATGTAGCAACCTCAATTTGGACTGCTGCTCCCACATCAGAAAAGCCCAGGGTTTTTGAAATGGCAGTGCCTGGGTTTGGATATTTGGCTGGGTTTTTGGAGGAAGAGAGGAGAGATTTGACAATCATAGAATGTTTTGTGTTGTAAGGGGCCTTAAAGCTCATCCAGTTCCAACCCTGTGCCACAGGCAGGGATACCTTCCACTAGACCAGGTTGCTCCAAACCCCATCCGCTCTTCGATATCAGCAGGGCAGTCTAACTGAAGTATGATTTCAGTAGTGGTTGAATATTGAGCCCAAAGGCTTAGAAGCCTCCCATAAAGGACGTAACTTTAGCGTGTCCTTGTGATTTTGTGCTTTGATTCAACTAACTAATGATTTATTATGACCCGGAGGGTAATAAAAAATACTGTGCTGAAGCTTTTATTGTTTCATTTTGGTATGCATTAAATTTTGGTACTATCTTTTACTGGTGGTTCTAACTTCCCCCTTCTGTGTAAGCTTAGATTAATAACCCACACATGAAAACAAGAAGGCAGCAGGCAGCTTGCGTGCATGTTCTGCGCTGGTTGTGCTGCTCTAGCCCATTTCTCTGGTTAAGCCACTTGTCACAATGGGCTTTACTACATCCCATATCATGTTCTCACGTAATGAAAAGATATCTAGTAATTTCTCAGAAAAGAAATACAGGAAACATGGAGAAGCTGTGTTTTCTTTACTTCCATGCTTGAAAACATTGCTGCTGTGATTTATGTTGGATCTGGTCAACATGGCTCAGGCAACTCCCAAAAGAGTACTTTAGGTAAGTTGTAATTGTCACATCGAGCTCTCCCAGGACAAAACCAGCTTGTCTCTTTCAGCATATAACATCTCCATCAGGAGTGGGTAAATCAGGCTGGTTTCCAGCCTGGATTCACATGCTCCCTGTCTTTTCATGTCACAGGGACACTTTACATTTACCCGTGAGGCTGGAATATGATCTAGGCTGCAGCTGGGGACTTGCAAACCCTCTGGTAGCTGTAGTATTGCTAAATTACTCTATCATGCTCCTGTTTCTCCCACTATCAGATGGATATAATTGTTCCTTCCCAGGTTCTCACCCACAAAGAGGGATTTTCTTGAAAGACCCAGCGAGTCCATGCAGAGGTATTAACAGTCCCCAGATTTCCAACTCCTAGTTCTTTTACTTTGATGGCTAAAGAGCCCAGTGAGCCCCCGAGATAGCAGCCAGATTTCAGGTCAAATTACACCTGTAGATTTGCCTTCTATATCCTGTTTTAGCACCCCCCTGCTTTTCTAAATGAATAAAACTAGAGAGGAAAACAGTAATTATTACCATTATAAACCTGTATGTTTACTTGTGATGCAGGACCAAGAGTCTCGCTGGTGATGGAGCAGCACAGCAAATGCCGGTCCCTCTCCAAACTCTTCAGAATGCCGAGTTTCTTTTGTTTCAGGTTTTTGAGGGAGGATTAAATCTTTTCTGTCTTCCTGTGCCTCTGCATTACAGAGTATAAAAAGGAAGGCAATAATTTTTGAGCTGCTCCTGCTGGGGAATTTTCGCCTGCTCTAAAATCACAAGCTCGAAGGGATGCAGGCATTTGGGCAGTCAGCGTGACATTGACCCTGAGGTAGAAAACAGCTCTGTCTCAAGCACTGCCCTTATCTACTCTTCTGTTAGCTGGTTATCTGGAGACTGCACCTTGCCACCTCAGGTGTATTGTCATCAATCATTTGTTATTTTCTTTAGCGGACTGGTTCCTCTCTGCCCTTCCTTTGTTAATAACCCAGTTTGCCTATATCCATAAAAATATCTGATTGTGATACCATTTATCCAAAGCACCATACATCCATCATGTACTTATGAGCGAGATAAACAAGGTCTCCTGGGAAATATGCCGCAAGAAATATATAGGATGAATAACTATATCAAATGTATGTCAGTGTGCAAGAGGGGAAAATCCATTCATTAAAACCAGGGTGGAACTGCAGTGTTTTATTGTACCCTCCAAGCTTTTAGTTTAAGTAAGAAACGCACGTTTTTGCTGCTTATCTCATCTAGCACAACTCTCATGCTGGCCACTTCAGCATGAGATATATTAGCTGCTTTGACTGGCATTGTAAATGTGTAATTGCTCATAATCTGTTTTCTTTTCCCCTCAGACCTTACAGGCAGCTTCTTCCTTTCTTTTGACTTCAGCTTCACTGCTCCTGAGTTTCAGCCCTGTGGATGCCTGAGCCTGGATGCAGCAGGGGACTGGAGTGGGAGGACAGGGGCTGCTTCCAAGCTGCCTTTGGCATTTGAAGGAAATGCTTGGGTTTGTATTTCATTGGCTGGGTGGTGAGGTGAACAGGGAGAACGCACAACTGCAGGTAAATCCCAGCTTATTTGCTCTTATTTTTTATATGCTTCATGGTGGTATTTCACATTTCTTTATCACTTGGATTTATTCTTTTTTTGTGGTTCTGCAGCCTGTGATCTGCCCTTCTAGAAATGCCACTAAAAGCAGAGGATGCAGGTTGCCTTCCTGCAGGCTCCATCCTTCCCCAGCCTCCAAGGCATCAGATCTGTCTGTTCATTAATTTCTTCCCTCTAGTCCCAAAAGGAGCATACTGAGCTTTCTAACTGAGGTGACTTTATACTCATTTCCTTTCAATCATTGCCCTGAGTCCTAAGCAGTCAGTGTAAAGGTAAGAATTGCCTAAGATCCAAACTAGTCGTTGATGCAAGAGCACTGTGTCATGTTTCTACATAACCTGCCAGCCCAGTGTCAAACAGTGCTGATAAAACCACCGATGGGAAAACTTTTGATCCTTCATTTCACATTTGGGATGTCTAAATCATACCAATATATGAGTGGTTTGTGCTGCTGCATTTTCCCAACATAGAAGGCATCAGATTCAAGCCCTTGGGAGCAAATTCATCTCTGAGTGACTTAGCGCCTTTACTGGAAAAGCAAAGTTGACAAAAAGGCCACAGCTTTGCCACTCATTGTAGGGATTTTTCAGAGAACAATTCCATCTCAGTGCTCAAGGCAACCCGGCTTTGTTGTCTTCTTAAACAAAACCAGCCCATAGTTTCATTTTCAAGCAAAAGTGGTGAAAAAGTCATCCTTTGGCAAACATGCACACTAAAGAAAATACAGGACCAGATCTTCAGGTAGCATATATCAGCTCTGTTGAAGGAGCAGCACTGATTTACATCAGCTAAGTGTCAGACTTTAAATCACCACAGACATGCTGTTGAAAAACAAGCGTTTCCAAGAAGCAGAGCTCTAGCGGAGCAATTTCTTTCACTAAACCATGATTCCTTTCTACTCCCTCTTCCCATTCACATGTATATAGAAGTGACCCTTTGTGCTTTGAGGTTTTGTTGCTGTTGTTGTTTTTCATAATGCCCGATTCCTTCTCAGGGCTTTTTTCCCCCTGCTTTCCTTGTAGTGAAAAGC